GATAGCCGGAGCCCAGCAGGCGAGGGTGCGGTGGCCGGGAGCGGCCACTGCACTCCAGTCCGGGCGACAGAGTGAGACTCCAACTCAAAAAAAAAAAAAAAAAAAACCAGCCGGGCACGGTAGCACATGCCTGTAATTCTGGTTACTTGGAAGGCTGAGGCAGAAGGATCACCGGAGCCCAGCAGGTCGAGGCGGCGGTGGTCGGGAGCGGCCACTGCACTCCAGTCTGGGCGACAGAGTGAGATTCCAACTCAAAAGAAGAAAGAAAAGAAAAGTACATTGGGGTAGAGTTGGGGGTCAAAGCAGGGGGCAAGACTTAAAACAAGGAGACTATGTGGGAGAGCATGTCCTAGATAAAACAGAACACAGAAGCCAAGAATACAAAAGAGGGGGTGCCTGAACCCACCTGCAGGTAGTCCCAGGACACGAGCACTGGAGAGTCATAAGGGGCTCCTAACAGGGGCTGACACAGAAGGGGAGGTCGGAGATGGTTTTGAAATCAAGAAAAGGCAAGATAGAACAGAGCAGAGAGAGGACAACTACGTGAGGGAACTGAAGGGATGCATGGGGGCTGGGCATTGACTGCTGTGGCGGATGAGTCTGAGATGAGAGGAAGCCATGGTTAGATAAGTAGGCTAAAGGGTCAGCAAGCCCACAACGGGGGCACTGTCCGTTGCAAATCTCCGTAGACTGCTCAGCAAAAGAGAGATCATCAAAATGTCCACAGGAACCGGAAGGTGGCCTCCTGTAGGCTTAGAGCGAGGCTGGTAAGAAATGTAAACTCAGGCTGGATGAGGTGACTCATACCTATAATCCCAGCACCTTGGGAGGCTGAGGTGGGAGGATCATTTTAGCCCAGGAATTTGAGGCTGCAGTGAGCTATGATCAAACCACTATACTCCAGCCTGGGTGACAGAGTAAGACCCTGTCTCAACAAAGAAAGAAAGAAACTCAGCCGGGCATGGTGGCTCACGCCTGTAATCCCAGCACTTTGGAAGGCAGAGGTGAGAGGACTGCCTGAGTTTAGGGGTTTGAGACCAGTCTGGGCAACACAGCAAGACCATGTCTCTACAATAAATCAGAAAAACTAGTCGGGCATGGTGGCGTGCACCTGTGGTTCCAGCTACTCGAAAAACTGAGGCAAAGGATCACCAGAGCCCAGCAGGTCAAGGCTGCGGTGGCCGTGAGCATGCCACTGTACTCCAGCCTGGGCGACAGAGTGAAACTCCTCCAATGCCAATTATATCCTGCCTCCTGCAGGGCCTCCAAGGGGTTAGAATCTGAAGTATTGCTACCTTCCCCCGTCTCCAGAGCCCTATCCCCAAAATAGAGTACCTTTAGGTCTCATTTATTTCTCCATAGTTTGGGGCCTAGGTCCCAAATTCCCTAATCTCCTAGCTCCCATATTCCCTGGTCTCCTGTGACCTTCCCGTCCCTCCCTGTCTATATCCAGTGCAGGGATTGGCCGGACAGGCTGCTTTATCGCCACGCGAATTGGCTGTCAACAGCTGAAGGCACGAGGGGAAGTGGACATCCTGGGCATCGTGTGCCAACTGCGGCTGGACAGGTGGGTCCATGGATGTAAGCAAGGCCAGTTACATTAACGAGTGGCACCCGCGCCCCTAGGCCCCCGAGCACTGACAGACCCATCACCATGAAACACTCCTATGAGAAAGAAAGGGATCCCTTTTGCTTAAAGAGCAAAAACACCCAGGAAAGAATATCTACCTGGAATGTGGGCTTGGAGGCCTGAAATTAAATGTGCCACTCTATGGATTTACCCTGAGCTTTCAATCTTTTCTTCTCCCCAGATTCCACTCAGAGGCTGGTTGTCAAATAGGGTATGTTTGGTTTTAAATACGCAGCAGCCACAAGTAATGCCCAGAAGCTCACTGGGTTTGGAGAAAGAGAACCTGGGTTCAGATTCTGACTTGTATCTCACTGAGTTGTCGCTGTATTTATCTGAGCCCTCGTTTCTTTATCTGGAGAGAAATAGTGGCTCCTTCCCCATAGAGCTGCCATAGGGAATGAGTTAGCTTATGTGAAAGTGTTTTGGAAATGGGAAGTATGATACAAATGTAAGGAATCATTATTGTGTACTTTTACAACTACTGGAAAGAGAAAAGCTTGAGGCTTGGGAATATCCTCCACCTGATCTGAGGGTTCATAGGCCTGGATTTGCCCTGGAAGCTGAGTGCATCAGGGAAGACCACATGTCCGTGTGCTATACCTCCCCCATTGGCACACCCAGCCCTGGGCTCGCCCTGAGTAAGGGGTAGAGGGCGAGGTCTGGGGGACAGCAAGAAGGAGTAGGAAGTAGAAGGGATGGTGATAGGTGAAGGAGTTGGCATGTTCTTTGAAAAAGCCAGGGCTTTCCCAGCAGGACTGCAAGGATGTTTGGTCAGAGCCATCGGCCAGTGCCCTGATATCCTTCACTCAAGGTGTGTATTTCTCCTTGCAGAGGGGGGATGATCCAGACCGCGGAGCAATACCAGTTCCTACACCACACTTTGGCCCTGTACGCAGACCAGCTGCCTGAGGAGCCCAGGCCCTGACCCTTGCCGCCCTCCACTGAGCAGGTGCCCACCTCCCCTCAGACCTGGGAAGGTGGGTCTGGGGAAAGTGGGCCTCGTGATCTGGGGTGACCCCCTGGGTGGGCACAGGGAAGGAGTGCCTCCTTAGTGGCACTTGCAGTCACAGGAAGCTGCATCGGCAAAGATCAGGGGCCCGATTCCAGGTCTTCACCACTGGCCACGCCTCTACTCCCTCAAGTAACCCCATATGGACAGTAGGGGAGACCTCCCTTGTCTCTCTGGACTTAAAGACAGGAGCCAGCACTTATGACAGACAAAGAAAGAAGCACAGGCGTCCTGGTCTTCTCTGTGGCGCTCTTTGTAAGTTTCCACTTATGCATCTATAACATAGATATTAAATGCTTTGCTGTCATAGGGGAAAGCAAACAGAGAAGTTCCTTGAAACCCTTCCAGCCCTATCCCCTTCCTGGGGCTGGCAAGAGGGTGATTCCAAGATCATCCTCCACCTGAGCTCAAGCTCAAGCCAGATGTGAGAGCGGAGAAAAGTCTGGTCCTGACCTCGGTCAAAGTCTCAACATCCTAGCAGTGACTCTGCTCCCCTGCCACACATTGTGAGGGCTGGCTGCCCCTACCCTGAAAAAAAGAACAAGGACTCATATTACCCTTGCGCCTACCATGTGTCATTAGAGCAGGCTCCAGAAGTGACCAGACCTGAGAGTTGAAACCTTTGGAAGAGAGAACGTGTGGGAACCACTAAGGCCACGAGAGCTGCCCTGCCTCCATGATCGCTAGCCACTTGCCCAACTACTTTCCTAGGGAAGCCCAGCATTCTCTGCTTTGCTTCCAAATGATGCCCTGGGCATGCAGAAAGTACAAAAGAAAAAGGAGGGAAGAGGAGACAAAGATCTCTGTCTGATTTTAGATAACCAACCACCACCCTGCATGTGCAGAGAATGCCTGGAGAGTTTGGTTGTTTCCAAAAACAATTGGGGTTATAACCACTCTGTGAAGACATGGAGGCTTGACTGAATGGGGACCACTGACCGTCTACCCCAGAAAACTAACTCTCTTTATCCGTCTCAGCACCAATACAATTTCCAGGGGACCTCAGATCTAAGGGCTGAACTACACACCTCAGGATTCGTCCTCCTTGAATCTGAGATGGGGATGAGGTAAGGCTTCACTTTGCCTGGCACTCTGCCCCTGAGATATGCCTTCGCTGATACCTGTTCTCTATGAGGAAAACTTCCAAGGAACTGGATCCCGGAGAACAGCTGGGCCTTCTGGCTCATGATATCACTTCTGAAGGACTACAGTGCTGCAACTGAGGTTGACTTCATGCATCTTCTTGGCCTTAGGAGACACACACAGCCCTTCCTGACAGCCCTGGGGATGGGCTTGCTTGTTGCTCTATCTCCCTCAGCCCTATGAGAGACACGACTGTCCATGGCCAAGTGGAGGGCTCTCAAGTGCCTGATCCTGCCCTGAGCTCACATCCAGTCTGAAGGGAAGCAACCATATAAACTCACAGGCTCCCCTTCCTAGCACTGGCACCGCAAACTGTTTCAGAGCTCAGATGGTACATGCTCCAAAAAAGTAACCAAGTGGGGAAATAAAGGCTCATTGGATGACCGATTCGTTCCTTCCTTCCATCTTCTTCCCAGGCCTCTGGGGCCTCTTTGTAGCAATAGAGAGACTCCATAGACCAGGAAAAGGCTGCAAGTATTTAACCTTGAGATATGCACTTTTCTTGCACGTCCAAGGACATAAAACAAAGTGAAACTAAAGTCAACTTAGGAAGTAAGACAGAGGTGGACTGTCATAGTCCATCAGGCTGCTAGAACAGTGCCATAAACTAGGTGGCTTAAAAGAAATGCTGAGCACCGTGGCTCACACCTATAATTCCAGCACTTTGGGAGGCCAAGGTGAAAGGATTTGAGACCATCCTGGGCAAATTGGCAAGACCTGATCTCTACAATAAATCAGAAAATTAGCCAGGTGTGGTGGCGCATGCCTGTAGTTCCAGCTACTTGGAAGACTGAGGCCGAAGGATCATCTAAGCCCAAGAGGTTGAGGCTGCAGTGGCTGTGAGCATGCCACTGCACTCCAGTCTGAGTGACAGAGTGAGACTCCAACTCAAAAAAAAAAAAAAAGTAACAGAAATGTCTAGGCACGGTGGCTCGTGCCTATAATCCCAGCACTTCGGGAGGCAGAGGTGAGAGGATTGCCTGAGCCCAAGGGTTTGAGACCAGCCTGTGCAACTTGGCAAGACCTCGTTTCTACAACAAATCAAAAAATTAGCTGGGCATTATGGCACAGACCTGTAGTTCCAACCACTTGAAAAACTGAGGGGGAAGGATCACCTGAGTCCAGCAGGTCGAGCATTCTGTAACTGTGAGCATGCCACTGCACTTCAGCCTGGGTGACAGAGTGAGAGTCTGACTCAAAAAAAAAGTATCTGAAATGTATTGCTCACAGTTCTGGAGGAAGACCAAGGTCAAGGCCCCTGCAGATTCAGTGTCTGGTGAGGAGGGCCTCCTTTCTGTTCTTGCATGGCGGAAGGGCCATGGGCTGGCATTCTCTCTAGAGCCCTCTCTCTCTTTCTTCTTTTTTTAGAAAGCAGGATTTATTGAGAGGACAGAGAAGCTCCCACACAATTTCCAAAGTGGGAGGAACCCAAAGGAGATGCCTCCTTTTTTTTTTGAATTTGAGTCTCCCTCTGTTGCCCAAGCTGTAATACAGAGGCATGATACAGTTACCAGCTACTGCAGCCTCAAACTTCTGGGCTCAAGTGATATTTCTGCCTCAGCCTTCCAAGTAACTGGGGCTACAGGCACGAGTCACCACAGCCAGCTAATTTTTTTTTTTTTTAGTCAGTCGCACTCTGTCACCCAGGCTGAAGTGTAGTGGCATACTCACCGCCACCACAGCCTCAACCTGCTAGGCTCAGGCGGTCCTTCCACTTCAGCCTTCCAAGTAGCTGGAACTACAGACATGCCACCATGCCCAGCTTATTTATGTATGTATGTATTTATTTATTGTAGAGACGAGGTCTTGCCATGTTGCCCAGGCTACTCTCGAAAACATGGGTTCAGGCAATCCTCTCACCTCCGCCTCCCAAAGTGCTTACAGACATGAGCTAACGCACCTGGCCAGATAAATTTTTAAAAAATTATTTATTATAGAAACAAGTTCTCACCATGTTTCCCAGCCTGGTCTTAAACTCTGGGTTCAGACAGTCCTCTCACCTTAGCCTCACAAAGTGCTGGGATTACAAATGCCTGGCTCTCCCTTCTTTTATAAGGGCACTACTGTAATCCCACTCATGAGGGCACCACCCCCATGATTTATTACTTCCTAATACTATCACTTTGGGGACCAGGATTTCAACATATAAACTTTGGGAAGGCACAAACGTTCAGGCCATAGCACATACCTTAGGAGGTAGAGAGAAACTTATAATGGATAGACCAAAAAGATGATGCTTAATAAACCAGAATACAGCCAGAATACAGCTCTCACACCTGTAATCCCAATACTTTGGGAGGCAGAGGCAAGAGGATTGCCTGAGTCCACAGGTTCGAGACCAGCCCAGGCAACTCGGAGAGACCTCATCTGTACAATAAATAAAAAAAAAAATTAGCTGGGCATGGTGGTGAGTGCCTGTAGTTCCAGCTACTTGGAAGACTGAGGCAGAAGGATTGCCTGAGCCCAGCAGGTCAAGGCTGTGGTAGCCCTGAGCATGCCACTACACTACAGCCTGGGCGACAGAGTGAGACTCCCACTTAAAAAATAAAATAATAGCAGGGTGTGGTAGTGCACACCTGTAGTTCTGGCTACTTGGAAGGCTGAGGCGGAAGGATACCTGGAGCCCTGCAGGTCGAGGCTGTGGTGGCCGGAAGAGTGCCACTGCACTCCAGTCTGGGCGACAGAGTGAGACTCCAACTCAAAATAAATAAATAAATTAAATTAAATAAACCAGAATACTATGCTAGCCCGATACCTTTTGATTCCTCCACTTTGGCAATTGTTTGAATACTTGGGGTCATCTAACTAGGTATGACAGACATGATTGATATTGATAGCTTATTCATCTTTGAATAAAACAATAGAACACATGTGAGTGCATGTGAAAACCAAATTCTAAGGAACATCCACACAGACTGGGGACTGCCCTGAAGCCTCCTGGGACTAGCAGGGACAGCCAGCTGGGGTGATCAGTCCGACTGAGCAGGCCCTGTGGTTAAGCACTGTGGGGGAGGGGAGAAGCAGGGGAGGTTAGGTTGTGGGGCATCTTGACAGGCCTATGCCACCCACTATCAGTTCTCCTCCTGAAGAAAACTTTGTTTTTTTACCAAAACAGGACAAACTGGCATCCTGAACAAGCTGAACGTCCTCTGCCCCAGACGTTCCTCTCCGGAAATCCCCCAGCAGAATTTTCTGTTCCAGCATCATGGTGAGGCTAGCAGAAAGCCTCAAGTTCAAGCATCTATTTCACTCTGGGACAGAAGCTTCCCAAACAAGTGGCCCGGGTAAATTGTTGTTAGCAAAGCAAGATGGAGTATTAAAAGACCCAAACACCGGTGTCACTTTCCGCGCGATGCGTTTTGAGGGAACGGGACTCTGGACCCAGAGACAAGGGTTCAGGGAACAAAAAGCCTCCCCCTGCCTCCCTTTCACAGAGATGTCACCTGCGTGTCCTGGAAAGGGGTGGCCCGCCCTCCTCCAGCCTGGAAGCGCTCCAGCTCAGCCGGGACCGACACCACCTCCGTCCTCCAAGAACCGGGGCGCCAGTCAGG